ATCGAAAGCAACCTCAGAGAATCCCGCCTGCCACAACAATCATTGGAAAATCAGACAATAGTAATGAGAAATAAAAAAATGCTAGATATGGAACAAACCCAACAACAAGAAGCAAAGCCATAAGTAAACATTAAATTGAAATTGAAATTGTCTCAAATTAAAGCCTCTGTTCTGATTGTTTGAAATCATATAGAACTACCAGATCGTTGTTCTCCTCAACGGCAAGATCCGGCGGAGAACGAGGCAGATCGTTGTTCTCAACAGAAAGCTCCGTACGCTCCATGGATATAGAGAAGAAGATGGAGGTTATGGCAGTGCTTGGCTTAGTTAGGGTTCTGAGAAGAGGAGACGAACAGAAAAGAAAGAGAAAATGTGGGCTCTATGAATAAACTGTCAAATACAAGAGTTGGCTTAAATAGAAGAAAAAAAAAACCCCTAAAGTCATAGGAAAATAATATCCTAATAAATAACTTATTCTTCAAAATATAAAATTAAACATTTAATTAAATACAAATCTTGACAGAATCATAATTGCTTCAAACTTCCTCAATTAATTATAAAATACGCCTTCCTTTATTTTAATTAATTTTTCACGACATAATTGATGCATATTTCGTCCTACATCATCCTATCATAAGAGTCTTGCATAACTAATTCAATTGCATAACCCTAAACATACTAACCTTGAGAATCACGAATGACATAAAAAAACAATAAATGGTTGAGAAATGAGAAACAAGTATGTAAACGTTACTGGATGATTCATTGGACTTTTGCAGCAACACTTGGTTATTTATTAATCATATGTGTCTAAAATCTTAATTTCAAGTATGTAAACCAAGGAAATTTCATATCGGAGCAACATTGGGAGCTTATGGGCTTTTACACCCACAGCGACAGCCACAAATTACCAGACAAGTGTTGGGCCCATGCTGCTTGGAGCTAAAGTTCACTAGGATGGTGCAGTGGCTCTAGCACTGATAAGGAAGAAGTAAGAGCAAAAGCATGAGAGAAGGGGATAGAGGTAATAGTGCCAGATGATGATGATATTGAACAAGAAAACGAAGAAGATTTGAACCTTAGGAGGAGTAGGAAGAAGAGGAAGCTCGAGGATCCCGTTGCAAGGGCCAGATGGCTTGCAGAGAGGTAAGGACTCTGTTTTTAAATTAATTGGTTATATTAGTTAGTGTTGATATCATACACTAATTAGTGTTAATTAGTGACATAGCATGTATCGTAATGAAGGTAAAGGCAATAGTGTATATTTAGTCCTTCTAAACTCTTATTTTGGTGACCTTGTGTACAAGTTGCAGTATAGTATTAGCAAGGTTGAAACTTGAAAGTCTAATAAGATAGTTCCCGGATTTGGGTTGGTCCCTGATTTGTGTTGTGATGAAGGTACAAGTTAGAAAATGAGAAGGTGGAAAAGCTGTCAATTGAAGTTACAAAGTTGAAGAGAGATGCGACGGCTGCACTCACCACTATACTCAAACACAAGGACAGAAATGAAGCTGGCGTTGAAGACCCTTGTTGTTGCACCCCACCACCTCCCGGTTCTATGTTTTATATATATTTTATGTCTCCTTTAATTATTTATTTGTTAATTTTCTTGGGTTAAATTGGTTGTTTAATTTGTTTTGTGAAATATGAGAAATTGAGGTAAAAATGGGCAAGAAGATGAAGATTGGAGATTAATCAAGTCAAGAAGCCAAGTCATTCCTTTTGTCGCAAGGAATGTTGTCAAATTTCCTAGTTCAAGATGGTTCAAGTCTCATCAAAGCTAACAAGGAGAAAAAAAGAAGACCCTATATTAGAAGGAATCCTACTTTTATAATAATTGTAATTATACCTTAGATAGGTAGGATTTCTAGGAGTATTTTAAATAGGGAGTTTCGGTCATTGATCAAGTCCTCCATTACCCATCATCCTTCATCCTCCATCATCTACCATCAAAATTCCTACATATTCATACTCATAGTCCAAACACTCATATGAGAATACGAAGAGAGCTTTCACAACCTTGGCATGGTTTGTCCACTTTTTGTGGTTGCTAAATTAAAAGAGAAATTAAAAAAGAAAATAGAAAGGATTATTGATTTGATCACCTCCTTAGTTTGTCCAATTCTTCCTTGAGTTCTTTAAGTTCTCTTGCACAAGCGGGATCTTGATGAGTGGGATTATGATGCGATTAATTGCAAGTGTTCAATATCGCTCAAATTAGTATAGTAGTAAATAGAGTATCGTTCCAACATGAATCAAGTTAATCTATTAAACACTAGACTGATTTATTTCTAATTATATTTGAATTAAACGATAAGAGAATTATGATGATTAAAATCTAATTAAGCAAGTAAAATAAATTGAGATTAAGTAAATAATGTAAAAGATGAAAACAAAGATAATAAAGCACTAGGGCACCGATTTCACCTAGCTAATCTCACCCAAATCCTTCTAACTTGTTAATCCTAATTACATAACATGTTGATAATCATTTTCTCTTACCTCACCAATACTCTCTTCCGAGTTATATTAGTTGTATTCCTTACCATCAACCCACTCTATTCCTAGTTATGAGTTTAGATAGCTAAGAACTCATTAAGATTTGTGGAAAACAATGAAGATTACACAAACCATAACCTAATCTTCCGAGTCGGCTATGTAATTTATGGTACTTGTTACTAGAAGCTTTTTATTAGGAATCTCCTTCCGGTCTCAACCCAATACTTCCAATCATTCAATTAGTGACCAATTAATTGGAAGCATTAAGAACGGTAACAAGCACTCAACATGTATCATAAGGCTTACCATTGATTAAATTTGAACAAGAAACAATTGTCACATTCTCTAATCATGTTATTTAAATGTCAATTCCAATTAATCCTATCATATGCGTCTTGCATAACTAATTTAAATCGTCATTCGAGGTTTTTAAAACAGTTTTTAGGAAAAGTGTATAGTATTTCATGTCCAATTAAGACACTATCATAAATTAAACTTCGTTTGTAATACAAGGATCCAAATTCTAGTATTGTGCATTTGATTATTATGCCAAGTAAAGAATCATCCAGAGGAAGGGACCACTTTCAAAGCTGTAACATTAACAAAATTCCGAAACCACTAGTCTCGAAGAACCACCCTTCCTGTCATAGACCTGGCATTTTCCAAACAATTCCACAAAACACAAACTATCAAATTATACAACCCATGGAAAGTCTTAACATATTTCTAATAAGAAACGCAGTAGAAATAATGGAATACCACTAGCCTTCCTCTCTCTATTTCAAATTTATACTGCTAAAGTCTAAAATAAGAAACGCAGAAGTTTAAAGGGTGATAATAAGGCTTTGGAACTTAGGGTTACGCCTTCACTCCTTGCTCGACATGAACAATAACAGTCCGTCAAGCTTCCCACTCGCCTTCCAAAGAATCTCGAGCAGCTCCATATTGCCAATTTCATAGTCAGTTGGTGGCTCCTGCGAAGGAGGGGAAAGCGAATTCCTGCCTACCACAATCGAGACAAGCTTATCCAGCTTCTAGTTTATATCGAAAGTAACCTCAGAGAATCCCTAATGCCACAACAATACCCAACAACAAGAAGCAAAGCGATAAGTAAACATAAAATTGAAATTGAAATTGTCTCAAATTAAAGCCTCTGTTCTGATTGTTTGAATTCATATAGAACTACCAGATCGTAGTACTCTTCAACAGCAAGATCCGGCGGAGGACGAGGCAGATCGTTGTTCTCAACAGCAAGCTCCGTACGCTCCATGGATATAGAGAAGAAGATGGAGGTTATGGCAGTGCTTGGCTGAGTTAGGGTTCTGAGAAGAGGAGATGAACAGAAAAGAAAGAGAAAATGCGGCTCTATGAATAAACTGTCAAATACAAGAGTTGGCTTAAATAGAAGAAAGAAAAAAAACCCTAAAGTCATAGGAAAATAATATCCTAATAAGTAACTTATTCTTCAAAATATAAAATTAAACATTAAATTAAATACAAATCTTAACAGAATCACAATTGCTTCAAACTTCCTCAATCAATTAGAAAATCCCTTCCTTATTGATTTCCAAGAGAGAGAGAGAGAGAGAGAGAGAGAGAGAGAGAGAGAGAGAGAGAGAGAGAGAGAGAGAGAGAGAGAGAGAGAGAGAGAGAGAGAGAGAGAGAGAGAGAGAGAGAGAGAGAGAGAGAGAGAGAGAGAGAGAGAGAGAGAGAGAGAGAGAGAGAGAGAGAGAGAGAGAGAGAGAGAGAGAGAGAGAGAGAGAGAGAGAGAGAGAGAGAGAGAGAGAGAGAGAGAGAGAGAGAGAGAGAGAGAGAGAGAGAGAGAGAGAAAGAGGAGAATTCCATGCCTTTCTGGTATCCGAATGAGCAGCAGAATGAGTGACATCTACTAGCAGAGTGCATGTGAGGCTGAGAAGGAGCAACCACACTACAAGGAAAGACTCTTTTCGCGACCATGGAACTAAATCCATTATGGGGGTCTCACTACAAAACCTAGAAAACGTACTACTTGGAAAAGATGGGGCAAGCTCATCCAAGAACGTCATATATTTATACTAAGAAGTAGCCATGCGTTTCACATGTTTGCTTTGATACTAGCCGTGCATTACATATCTAATGAATCCGTACATTTGATCCCACCCATATCCAAAAGTGCACTACTCTTTTGTTCACACACCGTTTGAATTTTTCATGTACAGTTAAGATCAAAAGGCAAGCGAACACTAGTAAAAAAACCCGTACGCGATCAAATTTTACACAACGAAACACACATCGTCGCACAAAGTAACTTTGCGTGACAAACCTTTGCACAACGACAAAACATCGTCGCTCAAAGTAACTTTGCGTGACAAACCTTTGCGCAACGATGTTTTGCGCAACGAAAATAAACTTCGTTGCACAAACTCTTGTGCTACGACGTGTGTTTCGTTGCGCAAAGTCTTTACAAAAATAAAAAAAAATTATTTTTTAAAATCTTTGCATGACTTCGCGCCACAAAACACTAAACTTCGTTGCGCAAAGTCTTTGGCGACCAAGTTAGTATTGGTTGCACAAAGTCTTTACAAAAATAAATAAAATTAAAAAATTATTTTTAAAATCCTTGCATGACTTTGCGCGACGAAATACTAAACTTCGTTGCACAAAGTGTTTAGCGACCAAGTTAGGATTGGTCGCGCAAAGTCTTTACAAAAATAAATAAAATAAAATTTTTTTTTTTAAATCTTTGCATGACGTAATCCAAAAATTTCGTCGCCTAAACCACTTTATTTTTGTTTTTTTTATTTTGTATACATAACACTTAAGAAATTAAATGGTATATATATTTATTAAGTAGCTTTAAATTTATCATTTTAGTTCGAATCAGATTTTTTTTTTGAAAAATATATTTTTGAATGGTGTGTGTGTATATATATATAGTTATTTATTAAGTAGCTTTAAATTTATTTTGGAGTTAGTTTTGAGTTTGTGCGGGGTTTGGGGTTGAGTATAGGGTGAGGATTGGAGTTTGGGTTGGATTTGGGGTATAACAATTTTAGGGGAGATTATGCCAATTTCTTGTTATTATTTTATGTTTTTTTTTTGTTATTTGACCATATTTGTTTTTTTTGTAGGGAATTGTCAAGACTTTGACGGCTAAAGTTGAGGATTAGGACGCTATCGAAACATATCCTCCACCATTTGCATTCACTTGTTGTTGGTATTTGTGTACGATGTATTGAATTTGTCCCATTTAGCTTACGTCAAAATCCCAAATTGATGGGAACTGGCTAAATGCATGAAAGAGTTCTGCCATATAGTCATGAGGTTCAATATGTGTAACATAGGGATTAAAACTCAACCCAAGAGATGTTACAAACTCTTCAGCAATTCGGGGCCAATTAATATCAAGATATGCGACAAGATTAGCATTGTAATTTCCAACAGCACCAGCAAATTTTCCCATTATTTCCACCCGAGAGAATTTAGTAAATTCTATTTAGAGTTATGTGGAAACTTAAACTTGTTGTGTATAATTAGTAGTTTAGCATGATTGTAGATTAAATGTGCTTCATTTCTTTGCCAAGTAGTTTCTTGGCAAAGAAACTAGTTTCATTTCGTAAGATTACTGTATAAAAACAATAAAATAAAATAAAAACAACAGATCTTAGTTTCTTTGTCAAACTCAAATGTGTTATGGTCTGATGGGTATTTTGGATATTGCAGGTGGTCATTGATTGGGCCGGGAGATACCTTCACCAGATGGAAAGGCCATTAGATGTGCTATTCAAACAGACGCTGGTAACATTTTCAATTTGCATAAACTTTCACTATTTTTCTTCTAATGTCAAAGTTTTCAGCCTTATGTATGTTAGAATTTTGAAGAGTAGAGGCTACCCATATGAGGAATTGGGTGGGCAAGAGAAGAGTAGAACTACCCAAGAGCAAGGGAACTCAAAATTGGACTTTTGGAAACTGCATTGTAGATTTCATTTAATTACAATTGGATTTTTGCTCTTTCCTTGGCCTTCAACCTCACCAATTTGAAGAGTAGAGGCTACCTAGATGAGGAATTGGGTGGGCAAGAGAAGAGTAGAACTACCCAAGAGCAAGGGAACTCAAAAATGGACTTTTGGAAACTGGAAACTGCATTGCAGTTTTGGAAACCGCATTTCAGTTTTCATTTAATTACAATTTGATTTTTGTTCTTTCCTTGGCCTTCAACCTCACCAATTTGAAGAGTAGAGGCTACCCAGATGAGGAATTGGGTGGGCAAGAAAAGAGTAGAACTACCCAACTCAAAATTGGACTTTTGGAAACTGGAAACTGCATTGCAGTTTTCAGTTAATTACAATTGTTTTTGTAGTTGTTTTTGTTTTTGTTTTTGTTTTTTTTAAACATAATTGATACATACATTGTATTTTTGTTACAGTTTCTGTTTTTATTTGCAGTTTTTGTGTGAATAAGTGTTTAAATGATTTTTTTTTAAATTTTAAAACCGTTGATTGTTTATATAAATATTGTATAATTGAATAAATATTACAAAATCAAGTTTGGTGTAGGGTTTGTGAGTGAGCCTTCCTCCTTTGAGGGTCAAGGTTCGAGTCCATTCAATGACACAAAATCTTTTTTTTTAAAAGGTGAATAAAGGGCAACGGAGTTGATCCCCTGCAGAAGGTGGCAGGCGGGCGGCGGGCGGTGGCGGCAGGTGGCTAGCGGCGATGGTGGCTGGCGGCAGGATTCCGGCGGCGAGATTCCAGCGGTGGTGGTTGGATAGATATGGACATGTGGCATAGTATGAATTCAATTGCTTAAGTGAGGTCAAATGTGTTTGATACAATTCCCTACATACGCCAATGAAGCAAATTAATATATGAATTCAATTGCTTAAGTGAGGGCCTGTTAATTTGCTATAGGTTCTATTAAATTTTTTGGTACCTCATAGATTTTTTGGTTACCCAATTGAACCTTGGTAACAAACTTCCGATCTGTGGTGGTTGCAGCCACAGAAAGACACCATGGCGCAAAGCCTGTGACGGTCTTGAGGTCTGGACCTTCGTTCCCAGCAGAAGTGGAACTCAAAATTCCTTTTCTTAAAGCGTGAAAGGCTCCAATGGTAACTGTTGTCCTGAAATAATCGTCCGGAGAAGTCGGTCCGAGGGAGACAGATAGTATGTCGCCACCATCTGCAATCGCATCATCAAATGCCGCTAGAATATCATCGTCACAAATACCATCCGACCAACCTACTTTGTACACCGCAATATGTGCTGATGGGACCCCTCCTCTTGCTGTCCCGGACCCCAAACCAAATAGGCTTGCTTTGCTAACTGAGTTTCCTGCCTCCGTTGATGCAGTGTGGGTTCCATGGCCATCCGAGTCTCGTGGAGATTTGATGTCACCTTCGACGAAAGGTCTACCACCACTACGTGTCTATGAATTCGTGAGCTCATGCATTACGTAATGGAGCCAAGAAATTTTTCCAAACCCTCCAAGAGCAAAAGTCAACCCTAAACCACTAGCATCATGACAGGTCTAGTATATTAGCCTTACTTGTTGCAAGTAAAATTGGATGAGCCTTGGCATGTGCCTTTCCATTTTTTGGGTGGTGGACCGAACCCAGCATCACTGAAGCTGGCAGATTCCGGCCAAACTCCAGAGTCGATCATCCCAACGATGATATTGCTTTCAACAGTGCTTCTCTTCACGTTTTCTTGAAACCCGATGAAATTCCATGACCTTGTTGTGTGGAGCTTCTGCTTCCCACTAGGGAAAACAGACACCACACCAGCCATTCCTATATATATATATATATATATACACACACACAAGCTTCCAGTAAGATATAAAAGTAAGATATAAACTTATAATGGCCAGTACTTTTTATGCAAATTGGAAAGAAAGATCGATCCACAACCAGCCATTTTCTGAGCTTCTTCCTCTGTTAGCTTCGCAGCAAAGCCATTGAAGCTTCTATTGTAGCTGTACAGTAGGAGAGGTTCTTGTTCAATATTGCTAAACATAAACACAAACGTTAACTCAAGTTAGGAATTATATAGTTTACTAAATTGCAAATCATATCCTTGTAATGTTAATTAGTTATATAATTGTCACCAATTACTCATCTAGAAAACTCGTTAATCCTAGCAAAAAAAGGTAGTAAACTTATATTATATATGTGATAATTAACCTGCTGCCAACTACGTTTTGAATCATGTTTACATGAAGAGGCAATGTTGTAGTGGTGGGAATGTCGAGCTTGGGTTGTCCCCCCCATGTACACAATATAAACCTGCGATTAATATAATAATTATAAACATTATTAAGGGGACGGCTCGTGCACTTGCGAGTATCACAAGTTGAGGATGCAACTGAATCCATTTTGGTGCAGCTGTATCTACACAACAGTAGCCCATTCATTAAGGGTGAACCACGTATATTTTGTCTTCTGTATATTTATCGCTTTCTCGCAAACACAAAACACAACACAAAATATTAGGCATAATAGTGAATTTTCCAAAACAAATCCCCATGCGGATTGGAAGAAGATATGAATAATATGTAGCAGAGTCATTTTACCAACATCTATATATAATTTTCAGCCAATACACGATTTTAAAAACATCCTTCAGAATTGTTGCACCAAATCATTGCAGCAATATATTCGCATTTCAGAATTTTTCAAACAATTCTACGCTACGATGATATCGCTTTTCATTGATATTGTTGGACACTGTTTCCAGGAAACCATGGAAGTCGCCATGACCTTGTTGTGTGTTGTGTGGAGATGGAGCTGCTTCTTTCCGCTGAAGCAGGGAAAACAGACATTCCTTGCACACCCATTCATTGAAGGAAATTTCTCTTGTCTTGCAGCTCTGCACCAGCACTGCAGTGATTCTTAATCTCTCAATGGGGACCAACTCCAAAATTAAGCTAATTGATCATCAAATGTAATTCAAAAGAAAAGGAAAAGAAAAAGCACAACAATGAAGTTGTAGCTCAAGTAAGTTTTTCCGTACAAACGATTTGGGGGAGAAGGGGTTTATACAAATATTCATTGGATGCCACTTGGGGGTTTTGAACCATAAGCAATTGTAGCTCAAGTAGTTTGAGACATTAGAGACATTCAAGAAGAAAAAATAAAAGCTAGCAGCATAAGTAACTTCATGCATGTCAATGTGACATGGTACAAAATACACTAAATTTGGGCTTCTCAGTATGAGTTTGAGAATGGGCTTAATCTTATTGTATGTGATAGTTGTACCCAAGCAACATCAGAAAATTTGGACCCAAAAAGAAAACATTATACATTTGATCCCACCCATATCCAAACGTGCACTACTCTTTTGTTCACACACCTTTTGAATTTGTCATGTACAGTTAAGATTAAAAGGCAAGCGAAGGGACAAGGGCGCATTAAGAACCAGTAGAGGATCCGAATCCAAATCCGAATCCGGAATTTTGTGATCAAAGTCTTCCATGCACTCACACCATATCTTCCTTACATTAACTATACCATTTCTTTAGTGTTGGATTCCATATTTGAAGCACCTGACTTTACTCAAATACTGAAGATTGATTGCATTTGGCACAACATAAAGCAAAAAAGCATGCACTTCTAATAGAACATGTTTTGGTATATTTGACTATTTAGCTCAAAATATTGAGTTTTCAAAAGAGAAAAACTAGAGACAGAAAGAAGCTAGCTTTGACTTATCCGGAAATTAATGGGTTTAAGCTTTCCAAAACTAACCTAAACCCTTTTCAAACTCCGCACAGATATCCCAAGAACATTTCACATGTTTGCTTAGATCCTAGCCGTGTACCTCACACCATCTTCTTCCTTGACCATAAAACTTTTTAGAGGCTGTCTGAAAGCACTTCTTCAAAAGTGTTAGAGGCTATTAATTTTTGGGGTATTTGATTATTTGTTAAAGTACTTTTATCCATCATGTAGCTAACAATTTAGTTTTCAAAAGAAAAGCTCAGCTTGACTTAGGTGGGCATTGATTGATTTAAAGTTTATTTATTATAGTATCTCCTGAAATTTTAGTCAAGTCTCACTACACCTCTCAAAATTAAAGTAACCCCGTGATCATAAATTTGTGTTTCCCTACCGTTAACTCCGTTCACAATGATAATGGACTCACTAGTGCTTCTCATCAGCTCAACCACACCACTACCAAAAAGCAAAAGCACTTTCGCAGACAGTCAAGACTACTCTCCTATCCCATTTAGATATTGGATTGGAATTTTCTGTCTATTGCCATTGGTCCCTATTGTATGTATCAACTTTCTCGCAAACACAAAACACAACACAAAATATTAGGCATAATAGTGAATTTTCCAAAACAAATCCCCATGGAAGAAGATATGAATAATATGTAGCAGAGTCATTTTACCAACATCTATATATATATAAATTTTCAGCCAATACACGATTTTAAAAACATTCTTCAGAATCGTTGCACCAAATCATTGCAGCAATATATTCGCATTTCAGAAATTTTCAAACAGTTCTACGCTACGATGATATCGCTTTTCATTGATATTGTTGGACACTGTTTCCGGGAAACCACGGAAATCGCCATGACCTTGTTGTGTGTTGTGTGTAAAGAATATGTGAAAGTTATGTTTTTCATTGATAAAGGTGTAGAGTATTTATACACAAATAATAGTGGAAAGCAAACGGATGCTTGAAGNACACTAAATTTGGGCTTCTCAGTATGAGTTTGAGAATGGGCTTAATCTTATTGCATGTGATAGTTGTACCCAAGCAACATCAGAAAATTTGGACCCAAAAAGAAAACATTTGAAAAAAAATGCCATGATCTAGAACTATTGCATTGCATTGCATGCCTCAATATTTTTATGCCAAGGTATCCTAAAATTGTAGAGGTTTTTATTTTCCATATTTCTTAATTTATTATTATTATTATTTTTTGATAAAAACTTTATAAATATTTTATTGTAATTAAGGATACAAGTGAGTTGTGCCATATTATTATTTAACGGATTTTTCAACCATCTACTGGAAGAACCACATTACTAAAATTTAATAATTGAATACTTAGTTTTTAATAATGAAAATATGAGTAAAGGTTTATGATACTAAATTGAAGTTAATCTAAAAATAAAATAAGAAACATAATGGGGCTCTTTAACGGTCGATCAAAGTGGGTCTCGATACACCTTGGGCCTTGAGGATGGGCTTAAAGTTTTAAGCGAGGCTTAGTTAAATGGACGACATGTCGTCTGAAGGGTCGTTTACTTGACACAGACACCGAATTCTGCTCATCCATTTTAAGTGCATTTTCATCCATTTTCCTTGTCTTCTCTTCTTCTTCTTCCTCTTGTCTTGTCTCTGTTTTCACAAACTTCAATACGAAAACATCCCCAAGAAATCCCATCATCACTCATAATCGATATATATTAAATATTAGAGAATCTGTCATTTGGTCCTCAATAGTGCAATTTGCTTTTTCTTATTCTTACATCAATATTATATTCGCATTTCAGAATTTTTCAAACAATTCTACGCTACGATGATATCGCTTTTCATTGATATTGTTGGACACTGTTTCCGGGAAACCACGGAAGTCGCCATGACCTTGTTGTGTGTTGTGTGGAGATGGAGCTGCTTCTTTCCACTGAAGCAGGGAAAACAGGCATTCCTTGCACTACACCCTTTCATTGAAGGAAACTTCTCTTGTCTTGCAGCTCTGCACCAGCACTGCAGTGATTCTTAATCTCTCAATGGGGACAACTCCAAAATTAAGCTAATTGATCACCAAATGTAATTCAAAAGAAAAGGAAAAGAAAAAGCACAC